ATATACCGGAACAAGATAATGTAATTATTAGTAGCGTGGGCTTTTGCAAAGCCCAAATGACAAAATTATAATGCCTCGTCTAAAAATGTTCAATGTCAACACTTTTTGTCATCACTGTGCCGTTGTTTGTGCTGATAATGCTGACGTTGTCAGTGTCGTTCCTTTTATCGCCTTCACTACACTATTGTAGTTTGCTACCCATAGGCCCTAATGCTGACTGAAGTCGATTCTCATCACACAATTTCCCTTGTGTAATTTTTTTTTTCAAACGCAATCACTACAAATTGTGGAGAATTTGCGTCAAGCTTAATCACAGCAACAGCGTCTTGGGAATTAGGAACAGCACAAAAACATATGAAATGTTGCAGAGCTGCACTTCAAAAAACAATTCGACAAAACAATATGAGGTTTGGTATTTCGTAGTTCCGTCAGGGGAACTGACGTTCACACAAGGTACTTCACAACTGGCTCGTCCAGTTCAATATGATCCAACTCGGGCTAAATTCAGTATGCTTCAATGACACCCAGTAAACACAAAGCTAGATGGGTTGAAATGGAAGCAAGTTGGCCTCGTCTGGTGTCTTAACATATAGGGCCCACAACGTGGCACATTTTAGCTTATGCACTCATTGTGCAATAGAAATTCTCCAGTTTGCTTATCGCCTGTCCATTTATGACAGACACTTCAAGTTTTCTTCCTGGATTGCTTCTGAATGTACCTCTGTTTTAGTTAATTAAAATTTTACCGCCTAAAAGTAGAATATCATCACCGCTACCCATATAAAAAAGGAAAACAAACTAAAATGCCTTGCGTGTTTCTCTGAAAAGTTATTTTTAAACCTTGGTAAAAGAGGAACGAAACTGTGGCGACCCGACCCGGTGTTTTCCGGCAGCTAATGACCATGTTAATTATAATGATCCGAGTTCAGGCGACGACAATCTAAACTGCATTCGAGTCATGTACCTGATCTTACAGTCATTACTGTTTGGTTCATGAAACCTATCATAAGTTTCATACCTGACATATTACTATATGTCACATATGAGAATCTATTGTCTTCTCGTCTGTTAGAGAGGCAGATGCTGAACTGATATGGTTTGCTGATTACGTCATAACAATGCTTAGCAACAGTAGCTTCACGTCTGGGAGTAACGTGATGTTATGAAAGCAAATCGATAGTTTTCATTTACATCAACAAACATTTTAAAACATTTCCCAACTCAGAGATATCCCATCAAAAATTTATGTAATTATCCAATATTTATGTGATTAAACAGGTATCTACAGAAATACGTGACATTTAGCACACTAACCCTTTAAATGTTCGGATCATCAACCGGTAAAACATCACAGCCTGCGCTCAGCAATTCAGGCATCATTACAGATGGGATGTAGCCCTTGGCGACAAAAATTGAATTCACGGACATACAATACATCTCTCAGTCTTGGATTCACAGGGAATTCTTGGTGGCTGAGCTTGATTAAAATGTAGACCGGCGCGGTCTTTGATGGCCGGTCTCTCCTTGTTGTCACCCAACCGCATTGAGTCCGCCAGACGTCATACACATCATCCATTATAATGCAAACATCGACCCGTGCGATTTAGCGCCAATGACCCGCGCAAAACGCACCCAACGGTGTGACTGAAAAATGCACGCGGCTGTGAAATGGTCGACTTGTACATTTGGACGCGAGGACTTGATCTTTTTTTGACATCGTGTTTTTTTTAAATATGTTTTACTTTTTAAAATGAGCATTAGGCCTACAAGTCATGGCAAAATGCATATCTGTTGATACCCGCACACGCAAGGAAGCCCACTTGAATTAAACAGAATTAAGCGGAATAGAATTGAACACAGACAGCTCGTTGTAGGTCATTCAAATAATAATAATAGGCCAAACCAAATTTCGACCCCCTGAAGCAACCATAATGGCAATTCTTCAGAATGCAGACTTCAACACAAATTTGAACTGTCACTCATGCCGACCGAGAATGAGAACCAATTTCAAAGACGCCATTTTGGAAAAGGTCCACTTAAATTTGAAAGTGAAAAAATCAAAACTGGTATACACCAATGAAGGCAGTAAAATACAAGGCAACCAGTATAAGTACCGGAGTTCACTGAGAGATGTATTTAACCACTTACTCCTTGAGAGATTTAACTGACAAAACAACTGACGGATGCTGCAGTTTCTAAGGTTCGGAGCGTCTGGAAAAGCATGCACTGTTATCAAGCCAAGACACACCCTGTACTACAGTCCTGATAATTAAAAAAAATCATATACATGTAAGTACTTTGGACCACTACCTCTGCCGTTGACTTTTATGCATGATCATCGATCGACCTTTTGAATTACGAGGATTAGTCCCGGGTTAAATAAGAACAATACTGACAGGTGTACCGGTCACTCTTGAGAAATCAAAAGGTACGAAGGGAATAAACATTCACTTTTAATACAGCCGGGAGTTGGAATGTGCTACAAATTTTGGTTCTCGTTGTAGCTATTAAAAGGGTATTATTACGAACCCAACTCCCAGTAAAATTTGAGATTGAAGTTAGATTGAAGTCACTATCCTAGCGTGGAGGAACGGAAACAGTATACAGAGAATGACCAATAAAAAAATACACAGCGCTGATGAGCTGCACTCTCGAATTTCTCCATAGAACTCACAATGATTGTTCACAGGGGAAAACGCAATTGCAGGGAAGTATCTATTTGCACAGTGCTTTCGTCTTTTTAGCCATTTAGTCGCTCAACCAGGTCAATTTCCTTAAATTGCAAATATTTATGTTGTACACCAACAGCTATATTTTAAATTGAGCACTCATTTGCGTCTTCATGGGACCATTGGTTCAATATATACACCAAGGTTGGTAGTACCGCCGTTTTTGTAGTCTGTACAAGACCCAAACCTCAGCAAACCATGAATATGCAACGACTGGTCATAAGTTTTGTGCACATTTTCGCCTGTGCTTTCCACTGAGGGTATTTAGGGCGGTTAGGGAGTACACCAGGTAAATCAACCAACAAGGTTGCCCAGTACCCTGTGGTATGGGTTGCATCCACTTTGCTGCGCCTCTATTGCATTTCCATTCTAATAGGGTGAATAATATTGGCGGATCTTGACGCTAGAATGTACACTATGGAGCATATGGGCATCATAAAAGGTAGGGGTATAACGGGTCACCAAATTTTCTAAATTCGGAAAGAAAACCTTGGACTTGAGAAGTCTCATTGTAATGTGTGCAACTAATAATTCATCGATTAGTGGCAGATGAATAGTAACTCTTACACAATAGATCTAAAATAAAACAAACAGTTATAGCGTGTATGCGAGCCAATTCAGGTAACTACATATTAAATTACACCAACCAGCCCAGGAGCCAGCTATAGCCGGCAAGCCTTTAAGCATTTTGCGGACATAAACAAAATCAAAAGTCAGACAAGACATCACACCAACCGGGCTTTTCCAACCATTTTCTGCAACTTGCATAACAGCTCAATGGCATCCTTTCCATTGCATACATGGTGCTCAGTGATTCAATTTACCACCCGGACGTGAACGTTAAAAAAGAACGTCACAGGCAAGAACATGTACATGATAGCGCCGTACAGTGAATAAGTCTTTGAAATCGATGGGTGAAGACGTCCGGAGTTTCCACATCAAAAATACCCAGCGGTTTTGTCAACAAACAAAGCTGATACAATGGCATTATTTGACGGGAAGTAACAAATCATACATCTGAATAGCAAAACTAACGTCAATCTAGATACAATAGTATGTTTAACCAAGCATTCACGGAGCTTCAGTATATTCACAAAGCTGTAAGATGACACGAAGTCTTGTCTCTGATAGAAAATAGTTGCTGAGAATTAGATCATCAAGAAGACCTTTAATTTGTGGACTCTCTCGTACTTTATTTAAGTGCATTTGGATTTTCTCCTTAAGGGAGTGACCACATGAGTAAAATCGTTAATTGGTTTGCTCATGCAAGCCAAGGTCATTAATGGAATCTTTTCTCGGATTTTCTTTCCAATCACAGTTTTGGGCCTTTAGGTAACTCATCAAAAAGAGAAAAATGCCTCATTCTTTTATTATCTATCATAATTATCTGTTGTCATTATCTCGGCAAAGGAATCAGAGTGGACCTTCAGTGAGCATACGCAGGTCGTGCTATTACGAAGGGAAAAAACATCCTTGCTGCATGAGTGAAGTATTCTGAAGTGCCGTAATCAGAAAATGGCATGTCAAGATTTATAACAATCTTGACATCATCGTTTATTGTCTACGTGGGACTACATTTCTGGAAAGAAGAGGTACTATTGAATTTTGTGCACACGACAATGTGATTGCATTCTATGAGGCAGACATTTGTAAATGTTGCCAGCATGACATATTACTTGGTTTCCAGAAAACCTTTTTTATGGACACGTTGTTCACGATCAGTACTGGGCAAGGTGTAACACAATGAATATATTGTATAAGCAGAACTGCAATAAATTTACAATAATAATAATAAAATGGATGTAGCAAACGCCCTCCGTTAAATTAACCTCGGGGTGGTTTACAATAAATAACAAGCAGACAGAGGTACATGAAACTTAAAAAACAGTAATACGTTCAATATGAACAGTAACGTGTTAGTAGAGTGCGTATACCTGAGAGCTTAAGAAAGCTGTTGAAACAACGCTCGTGTCAACTGGCTGTCTGCCTGACTTTGTGCCATTGGACCTTGGTCGTAATAATAAAATCTAACCCTTTGACTAAAGCACACTCTACAATCTGGTAAGCTTGTAATAAAGACATGAATAGTTACGTCCTATATTTCGAAAGCACTGTGGGCAGTAAATCAGTACAGGCATTTTAATGCGTTTACATTTATGGATAATTTATCAGGATTTTGTATAGTCCTGGATTACTATGCATGACACTTGGGGTTTTATTATTATATAATTATATAAACATTTTTTAAAATGTGTGTTGGGTTTAACTCACCTGATGGCCTTGTATGCTGAGTACAAGCAGGCAGCTACGAAGCCAAAAGCAGCAGCAGAACCAAACACCACGCCTACAACAAATCCAGCGCCAGTGTCGCCCATATCTGTCGGCTCAGAATAAGGCGGTTATATAGGGACTCCCCCCGACCGGGCGCCGCCACACACCGTTAAGACCCACCGAGTTAATCCACGGGATGATGAAGACGACAACGAGGAATAACAAGTAAATCCGAGGGGGGGGGGACTAAGCCTGGGTGTAAAGAGACGGGACTATCCCAGTTGACGCAACGGTATGAAATAGTGGATGAAAGGACTACAACGGATCAGTGGCAGGTCCCCTGAGCACGTTTAAGGACAAGGGGTCCGAGATTGCTTCGTGACTCGGATGACACCACGCGAACACCACACGCGCCATAAGAAAGTGTAAACGGTGAGGAGGTTCGGTGACGCGGGTGGGGGGAGGGTTGCTGGAGAAATTCCGAGTTAATTAACGAGAATAACATATCAGATGCATCACCACGCGAGCTGGTAGCTGGGCTGATTCCTTCTGTCCACGTACTATGTCCGAACAAGATAATGAGGAGTCTGTATTTGATCACGCCTCGCGTGTAAGGCCTCCTGCAGAAAATTGAATTTTGTTCAGAAACCCTTATGCGCTTGCCCGAATGTAAAAAGAGGCAGCCGGTAAATTCCGGAGAAATCAGGTGTAGACAATCAGCCTTGGCCTTTGTTGTAGATGGCTTCACTGTCGATCAAACAGGTATTACGCGCATAACAAATTGTCATAACACAGACTGGCCCTGAGACGTGTAGAGCTTGGCAGGCCCGCACAGCAGTGGTTGCACGTGTATAGCAACGTCACACGATGTGAAACTGCGCGCACACGATGTCCGCTAGGCGCTGTGGTTATATTATCGAAACCCTTCTATCGCACCCTGCGAGCAGTGGAGATAGCAGAGCAGTGCATTCATTTCCACATTACGCCGATTATTGTATGGGGACACCTAGCGCCGCTCCAAGCTAGTTACGTGTTCTGTTCAACCCCCCCCCCCCGGGCTGCAAGGTTTGCAGGACCGGCCCGCTGCATAATCAAGCATGGGTCACGGTATTCTACCCAATTAAAACAGGGCCTGTAAAGCCAGCGACGGAGAAATTTAAAATGGCTGGGTACATAGCGCGGGGACACGCTCATTCACAATGCAAACCTTGAGGGGATAGGTGGCACCGCGTGAAAGAGGTACAAACCTAATGCAGTAATGTACTCCAATTCAGAAATAAAAAAAACGAACAGCTGCTTTCCCAACAGAGACGTGTACTTCATTTGCCATTTCCGGATAGGGTTCGGCTCACACAGCCTTGATATTTTAGAATATTGCAAAGTCAACAGGTTGCTCCTTCCACTGCATTGGGCTAACTGTCTTCTACGCATGTGCATGAGAGAATAATACTGATGTCGACAAAATGCGACATTATGCTGGCTTACACATTATACATTCATTTATTAGGGTCCGCTTAACCCTATACGAGCCAGGGCGGAATCCCCCCGCAAAATATTTCCCGATATCGCTGCAGCGCATTTTTTCAGGACTTAAGCCTTTAGGAGCTTTTAAAGTCATTTTAACACCAATTTTGCCGAAACCTATACTGTTCTCGCGCAATGTGCATTTTTCTGAGACAGATCAGCCAATATGTATCCTTTTTTCCACTGTGGTACTCAATGCACGCGCTGGCTGGCACGCATGTAGCCATGTACATTGTAACCTTATGTCTGATTGAGTTCAAACTTCACCTTTGTAATGACAGGGAGTTTCTTTACATGCAGTTTCTTAGGGGGGCACCCCGGCTTTGAGATGGGCCAACAACGCAACAACGCAACCAGCAACGTTATCAATATTCACGACATGTAACTCGATTTGGCAATGCTCAAAGCCAATGTGCTAGTTACTGAAACTGTACATAAACGAATCTACACACTGGGGGGGGTTAATGATTTTGTATTGGTCGCTTGCATAGCAGAGCGACAAAAGAAACAAAATTACGGACACAAATGGACCAAAAATGTTCTCTAAATGCGTCATAACTGGGATCTCCAGACACGCCAAGGAAAGTGTTTTGAAAACAAAACTCGTCTTATGACGATAATGAGTGTACAGCATTTGATCCAACGGTTTTATAATCATTAATAACTATGACGTCAGCCAAGCTTCAGCTTGCTGCGGATGGAATGCTCACGCTCGCTGAAGGATAAAATGCACACTCATTACTTACAGTATGAATCGTTGGTGTACAGACACCAAGTCATTATATCATGAGGAAAATTTGGAACACTTACCAAAAAGAACTTCCTCAACATAATTTATTTAGGTGAACTAAATACAGCGTAATTGTCAAGATTGGGCACACTGTATTAATTCTGTCCACCAGTTGGTAAACCACAGTGACTTTAAATTTTTATTTTGTTCACAAACGAGATAGACGCTCCACACAACACGTATAGTCATATGCTAGCGATACGGTTTATATAATCCTCTGTTCGCGCAACACTGTGACTGCCAACCACTTATTATTAAGAAATCCAGCCTCGAGTACCGTACAAAGTCAGCGAGCACGTGCCGTCTTCATCTTTTATCTTCCCCACCCCCGTTCCACGTTGATGACTCACTCACGGGAGGGCTCGCCATTGTGTACCAACGGAAAACGTGACCCATCAGAAGGGGAACACGGGCAGAGCTTCAATAATGTCGGGCCAACTTCTACCTAAGACAACAGTTCTGTCGCGTTACCGATCCACACGACACAAACCCGTTGTCAAGTACCGTTGGCAGTGCTGAGTGTCGCCCACTGATCTATAGTGATGGACACATGCAATAACTGTGTACGTGTAGCAGATGCGTTACATCGAGCAACTTTTAACGATAAACGCCAAAAGTGCACGCGCCTTGCGTGCATTAATCATTTCTCTTCTTTCCTGTTTTGATGATGTCGAAACGGGGATGCCGCTCGTGTTCATGTCATCAACATCACAAGAAATCGTGTTCAGTGGTTTACACGGACTGGTTGCGTTACACCCTTTTACCCTCAGTCTTCTCTTAGTTAACTGTTTACAAAAATTATGAAGACATAAATTTTCAATCAGGCAGGTCAGACTTCAGTTTTAGTCCACGCAGGACACATCCCAGAGGCCCACAAAGGACGAGATGGTTTATACATGTATAAATAATGAAAAGTTTATGGTTGCAATAGTAAGAACAATTTTATGACGCGACAGACTGAATGTTCTACCTTGCTTCATGGAATAGAACATTAACTCTGTGGCTTTTTTCTCTGCAGTGCACGAATGTGAAACAGTCATGCTTTTAAATCTGGCACAAAGTGACACGAAATGTCATGCTCCGGGTAAGATAATGCTTCGATCAACAGAAATTCCGGCAAGGCTTACGCAATGCTGTAATCGTTAAACAGTGTATTTAATAGTTCAAGAATGTTTTCCTTCAGTCAGTATTTAAGATGGAATGGTGTTTCACTTTGTAAATCGGTGGCGTTCGTCATTCTCTGTTTGTGTTTGAGAACAAACAACCGTGTCTAACGCTCGCAGATACCGATATCGTATAACGTCCAACCAACGCTGACTTTCAGACGGTCACCGTTTGATAAAACGACTAAAATTCAATGAACATAATTGGTGACCTATCGATAAAATGACTGGGGGGTTATTCAGGTGTTGTATAAAATGTTATAATTATTGGCATAACTCCAGTTTCTGAAAAGTTCTTCAGCCACGAGTTGAAATGAATGCCCCACACAGTGTTGGTACAAACTTTTCTTTGTTCGAAATTACAAACAACCATGCAAGGAGGCAACGCTCAGCGCCCCTCATGTCAGTTCAATTTGCCTCTCCATCAGTTTGCTCGAAGATTTAACAGAAAAAAATGTGATCTACAAGGCCTTTCAAGCAGCTCTGGATTTGTTTGTCGGGAAATAAAACTTCGACTCCTTAGGCATCTCCTACATTATCCCCGCCACGCTTTCTCATTTCAAGTTTATTAAGTCATGAGCTGGTTTCTTGAGATTGTCCAATCCTTTCATCCGATCAGTTCGATTGTTGATAAAGTCGTATCAACACCGTGGTAAAAAGAGCGCACGCACGCATCTTCTTCCTAACCATGCGCGGCATCATGGGTCATCCGGGAGGAGATAAACAGCGATCTCGATAGGTCCAACCACTGTGCCGTCAGCAGGCCGATGTAATCGGCCTAATTGCCGTACCTGTGAGCGGCTCAAGTAATACAGTCCAGCCAGGTTAACCGACATTGGAAACAAAGATGTAAGCCTTCAGTTGAAAACAAAATACTCTAAAGGTCAAGGCGAAATCGTAACTAAACCACAAATCACATTTTAAAGTTCATAAAAATATAAAACACATTTTGAATTTCATTCTCATGTCGATCAAATTTTGTCCTACATTAATGAAAACTTTCAATATCAAAATACAGCTTCAAATCCTATTATGAGGTGTCAATATCTGCGGAATCTCTGATGGGGAAAGGACCAGGTAACAATTCCATATAAATGCACAAAACGATTACAGCGGCAGCAAACTTTATTTGGAGGATATTATTTTCGGACGACTCGTTTTCAAATGTTTGTTGCGAAATTGTTTATATTTATCTTCTGGCATGTCAATGAATAGGGCTTTCCGGTCACTCTCTCCAGCTGCCTTTTCTTGCAACCCATCTTAGAACTTAAAACGAGTCCCCACTCTGAGATTCATCTTGGCTAAGACACGTTCTCAGATCGATTTCTCTAAACCAATCTTAAGAAAGATGTATCAAATTTCCAACTGGATGTTTCTGTTTTCCGTTTGATCAAATATTTGTTGAACATAACCTTGCATTTAAGCCGTGGGCAGAACCTGAAACATCACAAGAACGTTTACCTGAGTTAAAAATTTCCACACGGGTAGTTCTATGCACGATATGATCAAGTCATTCTACATGGTTCCCATAATTTCATCATACTATTTCCTAAAGATAAGTTGCTGTTGGTGTACGACAAAATTTTGTAAATGCCTACATACCTGAAATCTTTTCAAATCTGATTCTACTGCGGGTTTCCTCCCGGTGGCGTAACTACAGGGAGGGGGAGCACGTGCCCCCCCCCCCGGATGCTCATGCCCCCCTCCCCCGTTCTCCCTGTAATACAACTGCAACCTACTTTCTTGGGATGCCCCTCTGACAAAAATGTGAGTACCAACGGTTTCCCTTCTGGACATTTAGCACTAGTCAAGCCAACACAGTATCTTCCTCGAAACTGTTTCATGTACAATTCTAAGACGACACTCATCTTTCATGGTACTGATTTCCAGACTATACATATTATTAATGCACACATTAATGAGACAGACGACCCTCAGACCCATCTTTGACAAGTTCAGCAGCGTTGCTAAGGAAGGTAGGACGTTTTGAATGCGTCATAATTTGGTGAAACGATTCTACAGGATAGGTGCGAGTTACGATAAGTTACCTTTCGTATAACACGTCTTAGCAGTTCGTGCATAAGACATTTGGCATCAGCCTCTCTGGATATAGTGGGGTAAAAGATTCAACCCAAATTTAGAATGATTGGGATCGAGTCACCATACCATTCAAAATGTCAAGCCAGTATAAAGGAAAATGTAACAGATAATTATTCACCACAAATCACGTGATAAAGTGTGAAAATTTTGAAATCTTATCATATGTAATTCTACCAGTCAGGCACTGCATTATCCAATCAAATACGATCTTGGTATCAATTTGTAACCAAGTTCTGAAGTTAAACATTGTGCGAGGAATGCCGAAACACTACAGTCTTCGATCGATGAATGATACCCTCAATCAAAATACTTAACATTTCTAGTGTTTTAACAGACCAACCGTACTGAGTGTTCAGAAATTATTTGAATTGTTGTTAGAGGGAAGATTGCTGCTACTTGGGATGTGTGCTTTGAACAGTACGTCAATGCACACAAGGTCGTTTGTTGCAACCTTGTTTAGCGTTTCGGACATGGAGTTTAATTAAGGGATATTCGGTTTTGTTCTTCGGTTAATCAGAAAGCATCGCTTTTTACTGTCCAATTTGTTTACAAGTCTGTCATATGACGTCATGAACCAGGCTGAAATTAGCCCACATTTCGGGTAATGTGGATTCTAGAACCCAACGCAAGCCTATCGGTCGATGGGGCACCTCAAGTTACGAATGTGACATTTGGAGCGCGGATCGACGATGGGTTCACTCACAGGTCAACTCGCACTCGCATGCAGCACTGCCCTCGATTGGAATTCTGTAACTTGACAGCTAGTAGATCACGGAACAAGGCTAGAAGAATCTGGTTGGACCTCTTGCATGGGTTACGGGAAATTACTCATTTGTGTCTAACATTTCAAGACAGAAACGAAGAGAATCGATTTTGAGGTGGTTATCTTGGACCACAACTGTGATGGCCGTTAGATATCATATATACATGAAATGGTGTATATGGATGTGAATGAATATGTGGTATACCTGTGAAAATTAATCCAGCCCAGTCCCTTTTGACCAAATGAAAAAAAAATCCAACTCCTTAACCAAGCCAACCAAAACCAACATTAGGCAGCTCTATATTGTTCCAACAAGTCGGTTCTTAAAATTTCCACTCTTCACATGTACTCTTTTAAATGAATGATATCCAAAATTCAATAAATAGAGTTCACACCATGCACAAACATTTAAACTTTACGCATCTGAATTAGTTACTTATAACCGAACAACTGCGATAAGATGAACGAACACTTTGGTAGCTTAATTCATTCTTGATGTTGACCAAAGCTCCCCTCCGTCCACTCACCGTAATAATACGTCTGAGAAATGGAGGACTCACGTCTGAAGCCGTGTCTTACTTCAGTCAACGTTTCGCGCTAATATTGAGGTTGGCTGTAGCGTAGCGTCCAGTTTGAATTGGGTAAGATGCGGGTCTTGAGCCTGATCATCTATCAACGATTGACACAAGGCACCAGGCAATTAAATAAAATGGAACTTGCAACAAAAGCACACAAACCGCTTGATAAGGGTGGGTCATTTCAGAAAGACAAGTTGTTCTGCGCTGAAGCGGTTTCCATTTTTGTCTTCATTGCGTACCATGTGCTTAACCTGACAGGATCCCGTTGCTATGGAGGATTTCCCTTGTTAGACTATTGTTATCGACTGCACTATCTGCGTCAGTAGTCTGAAACACTGCTATAGTTCAAGAGGTGCATATAGAGTTATCCTTCATTTTTGTTTTCTTACATTCGTTACGCCATCATGCTGTTTGAATTGCCCATGTTTTACGGTAGACTGTGGAACTGTTCCCCTTTAACATGATATTTGCCATGAATTATGCCCACGGCTTATATTGACTCGTATGTCAGAAACATCGAGTAAGTGGGTCGCTGGCTCGCTCGATATTACATCACCTGTGCACACAGTAAGGACGGCGGAAGACAGCAAGGTAGATTCATCGAGAGCATGAAGGACAATATTTTCCTTTCATCATGGAGACAGCAAGCTGGCCAGTCATCCTTTCTTTCAGTGGTAATTATTTATAAATTTATGCTGAAAAATCCTATGTTTTCTTTCAAAAATAAAATCACACAGTGTTATAAATCTCGGATCACAATTGACTCTGGTATCGCCCTTGGTCACCTCGTCCATCCACACAAGTGAAAAATCAGTTTCACTTATCTTGTAAGTCGTGTGAGCCAATCAAGAAAATACTGAACGCTGTCATCAGTAGGTAAACTGAAGTTTAAAAAGTTCACGTAAGTACGCGCGGCCATGCAGCGGCAATTTACGTTTTATAAACTCAGTTACAGCACGTGGCGTCTCGATTAAATTGCAGGCAGGTGCATGCTGGATTTACATCTATATATCAGATTCAACAAAGCTGGTTTCTTTGGGACATTGAACTTTTAAAAACTAGGGTAGGGTGACCCTATAATCAACAAGACAATGGGATATAAAGGTTAAAATATACAAACTGGAGACGTTCGGGTATATGTTTTCAAGTACAGAATTATTAATTTGATGGAAATAATTAAAGATGTTACATAAGGATGTTGAAGTTCCAACAAAATACAATATATATTATTTTGGGACATTTTGAGTCTGAGTGATGAATTAAACCAATTTTCCTTACATCGGTCTTTTTTTTACCAACAAACATCGAACACTTTAATGTCAAAGTCGTACAACTTTCTTTATACAGGGCTTTTGGTGGCTTGTAAAGAATATAAATACTGGACAGATTGCTACTTCGGCATGGTTAGATTTATTTGTAGGGATTTCAGGATATCCAGCACAAATTCAACCTCTATTATTGAAACTTATTCTACACTGCCTCCAATGAAGAGACCGAAGCAAGTCCTCTTTTACGGCCAATACTCAGTTTATTTCTGTAGCAGAAACACTACCTCAGACAAGACTGGAATGTTCTGGAATAACTTCCGGAATTTAGCAACAACTACCTTTAAACAATTAATTTGCGAACCTTTGGTATTTTGTGTTCTTCCTTTTTAAGGCAGCTTTACGTAATTGAGGTGGGACGAGGGAAGAAGGTGGAATTTTTAAGCACGAAATTCATAACAAAATAATACTGTGTCTACTATTTTGTAGAAGTTCATAAACAGAATAGCCAATGGGGAAAAGTGGACTGTGATTTGTACACAGCAGATTTTGTAGACACACAGTCCAATTAATGACGGTTAATAACCATTATACACTTTGACCGACGGGATAGTATCATGTAGTATTCGGTGTATCGTTTACCATGTCGACAAATAAACGATGAGTGCTTGAAATCACACGCACACATCTCAACATAATATGTTTGCCCTATGCCCACAAGCAATGCATCGACCAGTCGGCACGTACAATGTAGTATAATGTAAGAATCCAGGACAGCTTTTGGTAAACATTTCAAATGAGTTCGTTTCAACACTAACAATTAACTACACATTACAAATATTACAGTCCTGCATTATTTCAGAACATATGGGCTTTCGGCTTACCAACTAGCCGACAAAAAGTACCAAAAATTACACTCTACTCTTAAACCTATGAGACTTCTATACACAGTTAGAAAGACTGACGACCTGGAATTACCTAATAACTTTCGAGCGCATGCTTAAGTGAAAACAAGCACTGACATACAATAATGGCAATGCAAATACGAAAATTGGATCTGATTACACGCACGGTACCTGTCTTTTTCCGGCGCACGACATTTTACTGAAGAGTACACCACGTCTCTTCACTCGCACAAGCTTTTCTCCTAGGTATCATGTGGAATGCATCATTAATAATTATGCGGGTGCTATATTGATAGACTGCACGATAAACAGTTGTCGATAATCTGATAACCAAGAGAACACCGAGTGAATGTTACAGGCTGCGCGAAGCATGTAGCCCTCACAGTATTATGTATGATGAAAACCGTTTATAAAGCCCAATTTATTAAATGCAAACAAATTCTTAGACGTAAATCTTATTGTCAAATATTATTTTCCGGTATATATGGAAAATTTACCTTCTCGATATAGCAGGGAATCTATACTTAAAGTCAGCTTATGCATTATGAAGAATAAATCAAATAGAACACTTCCGTACATCTCTCTGTGATTAACCTTCAGAATATCTGCCTTGGAGCTTGTACCGTTATCCATGATAAAGTGGCGTTTTTATTATTTGATCACTAACAGCGGACTTAGTCTAGAAAACAGTAGGAAATAAAGGTTTACTGGGACAATGTAAAATGCATGCATCGCGTTCTGTGTACAGTGGCCGATTTGGCCGGGACACAAACATGATAGGCAATGAAGGCGTGGTGAACACAACTGGTCACCGTGCTGCCACAATCAAACGGTCAAGGCATGCAAGACGGCCATGGTAGCCATTTCGCCAGTCATGTGACCTGTCACCAACAAACTAAGCTGAAAGTAGGAATTTTGAAAATTTGAATATTGGTATTTTTTAAAATTCTACAAAAAAAAGCTTTCCAATGGTAAATAACACTCAGGGTAACTTAAGGTGACACAATGTGACGTTATTCCGGCGGCTTTGCGTCTTTGTTTTCCGGCATTGTTTCAACATTTTCGACCAAGCACGAACAATGTAATCGTCAAAACTGGTTAAAAAATGACTATTTGAAATATCTAATCCAGCTAAAAAATTCAGAATTAAATGGAAAGGTTACTCTATCCAAAAACCAACAACTGGCCTACCCTTCAATTTTGGCCTTCACGCTCATTCAGTCGTGACGGCTCACACATTACAACATGCCTGGTATAGCCGCCGGGGAATGCGAGATGGCCATGATGGCCGATTCGCACACCATTCTTCACAGTGGCCGGCGTGGCTCACATAAATACACATCAGCATTCAGCAACAGCAGCCGGGCCGCTGCACTGGTAAGTCTTTTCAATAAAATATCAACAAACCACACAAACTTGCGTTAATGCACATCATTACCTGGGTTTAACAAATTCACCTATATATTGCACATACACGTATTAATGATGACATTTCAAAATCTGAATGAATAGACTGATTTTCTATGCAACAGTAAGTACTGGTAAACACGTCACTTTGACTACTATATCATAACATAACATAACACAAAATACAATAGCACTTCCACTCAACAGATCGCATAAAAATTATCTTGTAAAAAAAAGCACGGCCAATTCTGCATAAATTAAGACTACACGCGTGCCATCAACATTAAAGGAGCAAAGTTATTCCTAACCAATGCTGGTGACCCTCACTGGGGTAAGTCTACTGTCAGGCCTATTACACATGAGGAGGGGTCAATAGTTAAAGAATATATGCCTCACTCTGAAGATTGTGTATATGCATAAAATAGCTCATCCTAAGAGGCTTCTGTAGTTACAAGTTGAGAACTGATCAGAAAATTTAGTTTTATTGTAATATATGCATGGAATATTTGATATGTGCATATTCGACATTTAAGATTATCTGCTACATACACATATGTACACATTCAGTTAAGATTACACAACTGCTACACAGAATATTATGCAGTCAACCACTAACACTTCCCAATATCATGAGCGCAGGTATAGTAACAGGAGGCTCTGATGAAAACAAGGTGACTAAACTATTTCATTCATGAGTCAATATGTCAACATTTTTTTTAATTTTTGAATTTAAGAAAAACAGTAGAAAAGGTTATACACGAAGTTCACCTTCAAACAGATTTTATTCGGGGGGGGGAATTGATTAGAAAAAGCTTCTAGTGCCTGCTGAACTGCCTAAAAAGATGAAAGAATGACATGTTAATGTCCAAGAAACTGGTGTCTCTCCTTACACTGACATAAACATCCTAATCTCGCTGTTTAAAATTAATGATTATGGAGATGGCCCATTTTCTAGTGCTCTCACCGTTTCGCTTAATTTATTTTCAACACTAAATAGCTGCACTTGAGCTCCAGTAGGTCCGTCAGTCACGGTCATCCCAGCAGAAAACCTTCTCTACTTTTTCTGATCGTGTTGCCAATAAGTCAAGTTCAATTACACTATAGCATCACAGTCTCTCTTAACTGGGCCTTACTTCCTGTGTCTTTAATGGATTATTCAACTGACCAGCTTGGTCTCTCCATATGCCAAGCTCTCAATTTGACAACAGAATGTGCACAATCCCTTAACTATTGAAATTCTGTGCAGCAGCCACTGGAATCCGATTAGGATAAACCAACGTGCCCCCCCCCACTTGCACCTTGTGGATAATTAAGATATAAAGATGGGATGACCTTTTTCTTCATGTGGAATAATCTATTTAAACATCAGTGTCCATCAGATTTGACAAACAAGTATATGTATTTTGCTGATACAGTCTTCTGGTCACCACCTGCAGTGGGATCCAGTTTGGCATAGTTACACTTACATCAACCTCGCCTTCAATCTATGTGACCTGGGTTCGATTCTCACTTGGGCAAAATTGTAAATTGGGATTTCAGTTTCAAGTACACTCGGCATTAATATCCTTGACAGGTCCACTGCTAGAAGCCTGCAGTGAAAAGTACGAAGTAGAGAATATCTTTCACTTTGTATCACTTTTAATCTGACTTTTCACTTTCTGGCAAAAACTGACAGTTCAATTTCAAATGCCCTTAATATATGTTGGAACTGCAAATAAAATTGTGGCCTTTTTAGTATCTTTATTATGGGAACTGACCTTACAATAAAAAAATTGACTACAAACAAAACCTTAAATCTAATATAACCCCACGTCTACATTTTTTTCCAAATACAAATCTATCCAAACTTATTCTAAACTTCTCTGGAGACCCTCCAAATGACATCTTCAATAATAACGTTTGCATTTTCTTGAAAGAAACAAGAAACCTTCCACACAATCACTTTGTTTAGGAAGCCTCAGATGCCGTGGGAGTACATCTGGCAACGATTTGCCCTGTGTCACAATTCCAGTCTGATTATCAACATTCATCTTTTGAATTCCCATGACGTTGCTGTACAATAATCCCGAACCGCAACCTGCTGACCACTTCCACAATTGTGACCACTTTGTTCAACTTCAGAATTTAAAGTACAATTCATAACGGTCTTTTTGGTTATCTCCAAATAAATTGATTTGTTCAGGTACAAAACCAATCTAAACATTCTCAGATTTGCTCAGCCCAAAGCCATATTTAAGTTGGTTCTATGCACTGATGATGGCACCGTTTCTTAATATCACTGGCCAGACTGAGCATGCTCATTCTTCGTCTGAGGTGTCCGGTGTATCTCGGTGACCATAGCGTATGCGGTCCCCAACCTGTCCATCCATTGTGCCATAAGCCTGCTTGGGGGCATGGCTGCCCAGTGCGGCCCCTCCTTCTTTGTGTTCTACTGTATCGTCACCTTCTTGTAACACATCCGGAATGAAATGCTGATTAAGGAGAAGGTGGAAAGACCAGAAATGTGAAAAGAATGACCAATCTGTTTGAAGAGACTTAACTTTCATGGAATAGGACTAGGCACATTATAGCAATACTCTACAAACAGGGCCCAAAAGACGATGCATCCTTACATTTACTGACAGCATGCTCATGGCATGTCATGTCTACATAAACGGAACTATGAAGATGCCTTTATACATGTATATGTGTGTGTGCTTTGCAGTACAATTGCTTTGTGAAAGTAATATGAACATGAACACATGAATGTGTAAATGAAGCAAAGCAGACTTAAGACAAATGTTACAAAGTTTTCTTTGACAATGGGCACTTGCTTTTTGATATTAAATCCTACATGTAACCCTCCAACAACTGGTCAACTCAACATCTTGTAAAACTGCCCATTTTCATGGCTGCAACAATTTAGGCAGTCTGGTCACTGGGGTAGATTGGTGGATAAATAGAAATCCACAAAACATCTAGCAGAGGGGTTGTATAAATAACAATGAAACAACTGTGGCTTTTTAAGACTTTCATAGGAACCAGAGGATCGGTTCTCTCATCTAAACCAGAGGATCGGTTCTCTCATCTAAACCAGAGGATCGGTTCTCTCATCTAAACCAGAGGATCGGTTCTCTCATCTAAACCAGAGGATCGGTTCTCTCATCTAAACCAGAGGATCGGTTCTCTCATCTAAACCAAAGGATCGGTTCTCTCATCTATGGCAACAGATATGTGAATCTTGCACTGATTTTTATGCAAAATGCTAAGAGCTGCAAAGCCTGAATAATTCAACCTATAAAATTCCACAAATACGTGTGTAAAACAAATTCCCGAGTCCCTTTAAATAGCATATGCAACTGTATAAATTGCACTGGATTTGGGAAGGCACAGGACTTTTCCTCTTAACCCTCAGGGGCATAAAATCAATGAAATGTCAAGTGGGATACCTTGACGTCATCTTCTGCAGGTGGGGCTTGATCTTCCACATTGGTGAACTCATCATAAGCCGGAGGGATGTATCCCATCCAGATATTGAAGCAGACTTTGGCGATGTACAACCCAATGCAGAGCACCAGGAACACGGATAAAAGGATGGAGCGGGGATCCACGGAACCTGAATGGAATTAGACCGAATGCCAAGGTTGGGTTGAGTTGAAGGTGTAAAGATACAGCCAAAGGGGGCATTCCAGAACTGGTATGAAGCACTTTCCAGCCGCCATATAGCGGGGGAAAAAACAGGAAACAAATGAACAAGTCATCTGTAAAAATGTATGACAAAAAGTTGATGATGATCTGTCATCAAAACTTATCTTCAAGAATATCTTTTCATGATTATATTTTCATCTTCTGCGTATTAATTACAGTTGGTAATTACGCTCCTGAATGTAATGTCCAATATTTGTAGAATATGGGAGAAGAACATATATAGCGCACCAATGTAAAAACACTGCCCCACAATTATCTGTGTAAAAGGCATTAGCGCGAGAACCAGCTTGTGTGCATATTCCATTCGTTTGCACAACACTTCCTGGTTAAAATGACGTCACAGTCCAGCACTCTACAAAGTATAATCTTGTCCAAAGGAAAGGGACAAAACCAGGGCTCCATCTTTCTCATTTGTGGTGACATCATTTACCGATCACATGTAGTTTTGGTGTCTTTGTAAATTCAACAATGTTTCATGTTTTTGTATAATCTATCTTTATAACTGGTTTTGGAACAAATATCACAGATTTCAATGTGAACATAAATGTTTGATTTTTTGACTCAACACTACAGGAAAAGGTAATTATTATTCTGTGGCACTAGTACTTAAGTTAGAGCCCCATCTGATGCAGGACAACATGTGATTTATGCTACAGCAGGCATGCACATGACCTTCGTACTTGCCGTGTAAGGGGTTCAACTGACCTATGAAAATAATAAAAGCACTGTATTTCAGTAACATATCAGGGTGTGTGCCTAAAAGCTTCAAGTGTCTGCAACTCTCCATGCACAATACAACATCTGATATAACACTGTATCGTCAGCTTTATATTTTGTGATGAATGTAAATGCATGGGGGCGGGGCTACATGACATGAGTGTGCCTCACAGGTTAAACAAAAATGTTGATTTCGGCGGTGTAAAACTTGACTCAAGAGTGGCCATTTAACTTCAACATCTCCTTGTTTATCTACCATGCTAAACGCTCAAACACAAGAGCCATGGCTTCCGTTCTTGGAGAAACACATCAGACACCCTGTCTGTCACCTTTGTGTAACTCCAGACAACCATCAATGAAAGTAACTGAGACCACTGGCAAGAACTCGGGGTAATACTATTCATTTGGCAATAAATATGCATGGTAAACAGGAGAAGCCGCCAGGAGTGTGTGTGTGTGTTAGGTCAGACACCCTACAGAGGTAATTGGCTGCTCTGATGGACGAGTGAGAGTGATATGGGGCTGGGGGGGGGAAGAATCAATGCACTGGTTTCAAATATCATGAAGCCAGATGAACAGAAGGACAAAAAAATCTGAGATGAGGATAGAAAGCTTAACAAGATTTCAATAAACCCTTCGGTTTGTGATAGCTCCCTTTATGACGTCCCCCTGAGATATGTCCATCAAGGTCCATAAGATGCTGGAAAGGATCTTTAAACTCGTCAAAGTTGAGCTGCTGATCCAGTGCAGAACGGAGCTCTCTGGAAAGGTCATACAGCTTCGTGTACTTTTTCCCTCGCACAGTCCATCCCATGTACAACGTATGTATATAAGGATTCTTGCAATCTGATTCACTGAAGTGGCACTGCGAATTCTGTTGTAATCTTTATAATGTGAAATGCGGTGCACTATTTAATTATGCTGATGGCTCTGTGGACTTCATTCTCAATTACTCCATGTATAATGTTGCATTTTCAATGTATTTCCTTATTTCCCTTCTTTGCATCATGCTCAGTTGATAACCATGTCCTATGAAATTTGGACTCCTTTGAAATCCAGTCTCTTTTCTGACACGGACTCCAAGCCTTTCACGATTAAGTCAGTTGCTATTATTCCACACCCATGAGCACTACGGTCAATGAGCCTTTATTTCATGTAGTCCAAATTTCATACAACACCAGCTCAAAGTCGAAGAGGGAAGAACAAAAAGTGAGTTAGCACAAACCCATATTTCACCTTTGCTCTGCCCTTCAACATTTACATGTAGGTAAGCAGCTGAATTTATGTGCAAGGGCTGTGCCAAGTAAGAGTAATTGGGCTACGGCAGTCATTACAGTGATGAAAAGAACAGTTCAGAGAGCTCAGCCAACCCTGAATGATTGGAAATTTCACACATGACTGGGAACATCACCAGAATCAGGTCAACACTCCTTGTCCCCCGCCAAGATAAAGGAAGCAGGCAGGAGAGTAGATGAAAGAAGGAAACAGAGAAACATTAGCTCCCCCCATAAGATGCTGATGCCCCCCATAAGATGCTGGTGCCCCCCATAAGATGCTGATGCCTCCCATAAGATGCTGATGCCCCCCATAAGATGCTGATGCCCCCCATAAGATGC